CCCCAAATTCCGAAACGCTAAACTAAACCCTAAATCCTCAACCCTAAATCCAAAATCCTAAACCCTAAACCCTAAACCCTAAATCCTAAAGCCTAAACCCTAAACCCTAAACCCTAAATCCTAAATCCTAAGCCGTGTGGCTCAAAACCCGGAATCCGAGCAGGACGACGTGGCCAAGTGCGGGAAAGAGCTGGTCACCAGCGCAACTCCGACCTTGGGGAGGAGGAGGAGGGGTGAACTCAGGGGGGGGTGCTTAGGGCTCAGGGTTTAGGATTTAGGGTTTAGGTTCAGGTTTTATGGGGTTTAGGGTTTAGGGCTTAGGCAAGAGGGGCCCAAAACCGACATAGACGCAAGGATCCCCAAGACACAGTTTTGTAGAATTCCCCAAGTAGGGGCCCGTGTTTCCCCCAACAGTAGGATCCTTATGATTCATGTCAATGTGCTTTCTTGGGCCCCTCGGTCACCTTCATCCCTTTTTTTGGCTTGCAGGGTTTAAGGTGGTGGATTCTCCTGAAGCACCCTAGCAGCTTTGCTGTGTAGGGTTTAGGGTTTTTGGGGAGTTTTTGGAGTTTAGGGTTTCGTATTCGAGGCGTCGTCAGATGGAGCCCCTTTCAACCTCTCTGCTCGTTGCTCTGGTAGGAGCCCTCCGCCTCAACTCCCCAACTAGCAAGCCTGGCTCGCTGGCCCGATCCCCATACCGAAGGCCAACAAAAGAGTCAGATGTTTAGTCATCTACTCTTCTGTTTTGGGGTGGGTGCCGCCATACTGGCCATAGTTAGCACATACATACGCCCAAGTCTCCCAAGTACCCTGAACCTTGAACCCCAAACCCTAAACCCTAGACCCTAAACTCTACACCCCTGAACCCTAAACCCTGAACCCTGAACCCTAAACCCTGAACCCCTAAACCCTAGACCCTAAACCCAAATTTTAAACCCCTTTTACCTACATAAACCCTTCGGGTCCGTGGTTCCACCAGCCAAGGCAAAGAAGTGCGGGGAGAAGGTGTTGAGTTGCACCTGGAAGGCTGGGGTTTAGGGCTATTGGGGTTTAGGGTTTAGGGTTGGGGGTTTAGGGTTTAGGGTATTGGGGCTTAGGGGTTTAGGGGTTT